TTTCACGTGGGAGTGTCAGCTAGAGCTAGAATTTGACCAAGTTGTTGGCTTCAGCCAGCCGCACATGCGTGCAGAGTTTTAGCCTCAACGGAGCCGGTTTGAAGAAGTTATTAATTGGAAGCTTTGATTTTGAGTGAACCTTTGAACTTTGGACTTCGGGCGAAAGTACTTCAGACTTGAAAGGACCTGAGAGGGTATGAATCTTGGACATCATCAAGGATCAAGTTAACTCCATCGATAGTGAAAATGCAAGTTTATGGGTGAGATTATGTGAGACTTTTTTTAGGTGAAATTAGATGATTTTTCAGTGTTTTATTAGCGGGAATACCTTTAGACCCTTGGAGAAGGGCCAGGGATGCTTTTGCCTTGGCCTTTCGGGGATGCTTTGCCCTTTTAGCATACTGAATAATTCAGAGGTTGAGAGTTCAGAAGGAGGGTGGCATCGAGAGATTGTGTGCTCAGGGCCCGAGACGTAGTGAATTTTACTCATTGCTGACGAGACGTAAGTTAGTGATTCTTTCCTCGTGTGACCGGATTTAGTTTCCTAGGAGCCAGCTTCCATTCAGTACTCCTGTGCAATCTTGGATTTTACTTTCAGCGTTAGTGTGAGACGTAGGCTAGAAAATTGGGAGTAATATTTGGTGTTTGAAGTGGTTAACTCTAGATGGGAGGTAGCACACCTTCATGACATCAAGGTGTTACCCCATTAGGGGAGGAATGAATATAAAAATAGAACATGCAATTCTTAATTAGTCTTGCTCTTCCGGTGACGGAATTAAATGTTATCAAATGTAAGTTTGAGTATAACATGTTTTTTTAGTACTTTCTTTACTCAAGAGCCCTCTCCAGAGAATCTGTCTACAGTGACAAGGTAATTTCCATCTGATAAGAGTATTATTGGTGAGAAACCTTAAAACAAGTCCTCACAGGTATCTAATCCACGACACAATTCATCATGTTTTAATAATGACACAAGGTGCAAGAAGAAATACGAGCAAGAGCAGGATTGAGGGAGGTTGAGCATAATTGAAACATTTTTTTATGCAAATTTTTTTTGAAGGAGTTGCTGATTTCGTTATGTGCACAGTTGAATGTCATTGCATTTCTAATTTATGACATGCTTTCTTAGAAGCTTACTGCAAGTTTTAGAGACTTTCAAGTCTCTTTGTATTTAAGTTGTTGATGCTGAAAAAAGACTCCTTGAATCTAATCGAACATATTTTTCACATTCACATCATGACTTCAAAAAATTGAATTATATTTATTCATCACACAGTCCTTGATTATTCCGTCGGTTTTCTTCCGTCACAGTTCCTATGTAAATCTTTAATCTTCTCAAAAATATTGATCCATACAAAATACACATCCGTTTTGTAGCAGCAAATTTTCTTACAAAAAACTGCAATATCATTGTGAACTACAATCTTTTGAACATTGTGCTTATCACTGAAGATTTGCTGATTCCCGTTTAAGGAAAAGAGCCAACTCGAAGAGAATCTAATGAGACCAACATAGTGAATGTTATCTTCTTGCAAAACTGGATTTGTTACAAGGTGAGTCCGGATATTGACTCGGGAATTTCGGATTAAAATAAAGAGTGAGAGCACATTGGGCGATTCTGATTCGTCTTGCACAAGGTTAACATAAAAAACACGATGCAAAGACTAGTGATCACACTCTTGATGGGCAGGCGTTGAGTTACATCGGCACTAGTGCTTATGGCCCCTCTACTGCTTCTGCTCGCGTTATATTGGACAAATCAAATTCTAATCAAACGCTCATCAGTCAATGCGACACTGCGTTGCTTGATCTGAAGTCTACACTCCTCTAGCCACATCGACCTCCACAAAAGCATAACTTGATCAGTCCGCACTTTTTTCAATAGTCGCCTCTTCATACCTTCTTCACATCCACAAAATTACTCATACAAAAAATGCTTACGATGTGTAAGATTATCACAAATTGTAGTTTTTTTTGGCAAAATTTGCAATCAAGTTGGAACTTCCAAGCCGTCACTTTCCACACTATAGCTTGCATAATAAAATTTCAAGAATTTTATTTAGAACTTGGTCACGATGTGCCCTGGGTGGGATCAAGTCATCAAGTATAGTTTTATCTAATGGCATACAATTCCAAATAAAGTATCAGATAAAACTATACTAGATGGTTAACAGTAAACTATTTGTGTTAAGCAGGTGTCACATCAAGTAATTTTCTCTTTAAAATATGTATAATAAGTTTGATTCATAAAATGGCCCGAGTGCAACAGGAAAGTATGAAAGACCCATCGAGCTATGAAAAGAAGAAAAGTAAACAAGGGCTATGCAGGTCTTTACACCAAAATTAGTATTAACCACATATCTGATGTATGAATTCCTGAAGACCTGAAAAGATGCCAGGATTTAATCTAAAATCTGATCATCAGGACCTCGGCCAATCTCGCACGAGGAATATATTATCGTTCACTTGGTATTCAACTTGGACTCTCGTGCGACGATACTCATGCCTATTATATGTGACTAAAATCTCCATCGCATTATAATTACAGCCTCCAACTTGGGATGAGTTCTATAGCTTGACCAATATTCCCATGTACTGCAATATGGGATCAACGGCGAGACCCTCGGTAATGGTTCCTAGACATTCAACATGGGCTCAAATTAGTTTGAGCGGAGGGCCCAAGACCCTCATAGAACACTCTCTGCACCTCTGACATCATACCTGGTGACAAACTCGGACCTGGAAAACCGCTTCTAAACTCAGTCACTGCTATCAAAGTGCAGATAATGTGGAGATGAAATGTGGTCATGGTCCTACTGAATATAAAACATAATTAGACCTGCCTGGTTGATAGAACTACATCTTACAAAGGAAGAAGTCTCTTCGGATGTTTTTATGATTTTGTGACATTAACATAAGCGGTTTTCCAGGTCCAAGTTTGTAACAAGGTTTGATGTCGTGGTGCAGAGAACGTTTTATGCGGGTGTTGGGTCGTGCGCTCAGATCGATTTGAATCCATGTTGAGTTACTAGAAACTATGATCGATGGTTACCGAGAGTCTCGCCGTCCGATATTGAACTACATGGGATTGTCGGTCAAGCCTTGGAATTCATCCCCAATCAGATATCAATCAATACTATCAATACTATTGAATATAATTTTGGACACATATCCAGGGCGTGAGTATCGTTGCACGCGTGTCCGAGATCGGTTACCTTGGAACCGATCTCGGACACGCGTGCAACGATACTCACGGTTCCAAGGTAACGATAACTATATTCGTGGTGGGAGATTGGCCGAGATCCTGATGATGTGTTCCACGTAATGTGTGTACACTAAGGTCACAGTTTAATCAATCTAGCAATATTGGGAATACTGTAGTGATCGGTCTACTTATTAAAGGCCACAGTTCTAAAATTATTCACACGCTGAAATCAAGGTGTAATTATATGCACCTTGATATAAGCGTACATAGATAATGTGAGTTTCTATGGTGAGAGAATTGGAGACAAGTTCTGGGATCGAAGGCTATTATAGACCAATAAAATCATTCATTTATGACCAATTTCTATGTGGAATTTAGGTAGGTATCGAAAAGTACAAGTCTCAGAAATAAAAATTTTGATATCCACGAAGAATCTTAACACCTAGAGTCGAGAAATTTACGGCCAGTGGTTTTGAATGGTTGTTCTCTACAGTAGCAAAATCTTCATAGTTCGCCGTCGGTTTTAATTTTTTAAGTACATGTGCACAAGAACGACCTCTCTTGGATGGGCTCTAAGAGATCAGAATGGTCTTTTCAGATACCAGAAGTCTCGATGAGGGTGGGCTAAAGTTGTCCTGATAGAGAAAAGGAAGAACAACAATCAGAATTAGAGTTGGACTGCAGCTTAGCTGCCATGGTGATCTTTCTTGAGAGACCCTAGAGTAGCCATGCTTAGAAGAAGAAGAATCAGATCCTCAACGTGAAATGCATCAGGCGTATAACGAAATCAAAGGCCTAGTTCTGCAGTTCTAAACATAAAGATGTTCAGGTATCTGTTAATTCTTTTGCTGCGGCACTTCAACGCCGATTCATTCATTCACCTCTCTCTTCTCATTGAAGATCAGAAATCCTCAATGTTAAAAACACAAGTCTACTGACTTGTGTTTTTCTCGTAATGTCAATGACTCCATGAACATTAGTTGACTCGGGTTTCATGTATGCTCGGAATCATTTCTGTTAAATCTGCTGACTTGTGTTCTTGACGTCAGGTGCTTGACTCGGCCTCGTCACAATCTGCAGCATTTGCCGAGATTTCCATCAGAAGCAACGACTAAGCTGCAGGTCTGCCGTTGCAGATTCGAATGGCATGAATCCCAGCTCGTGATTCGAAACCGAATGCCATCAAGAGCTGGCCGTTGGACTTGTGTAATCCGTTTCATGAAGCAAAGGCCATGCTTTGCACGATCTTGCGAATGCTTCAGTCCAGCCAGCACCAATTGGTCGTTCAACGATGCTTGGAGTTTGGGCTGCCGTCGGTAGCGGCGTGTTATTGCTACCGGTTGGCTGTGTAGAAGTTCTTGTCGATCACCATCACAAATGGTTCTCATGCGGAAACCAGATACCTCGGTCGCTCAATGGTAGACTAACCTTTGATGTTTGCTTGCGAGCTGGAAGTCACAAGAAACCTCGAGCAGCCTGGTAAAGAGTTCATGCATGAAGATATACGACTTGCTCACGAGGTATGTTGCTCAAGCATACCTTGTGAATTATGAAATTTTATTACTGTTATAGGTTCATGTGGTTATTCATACGAGAATGCGTCGGAACTTAATAATTTTAGCGACATATAGACTTATAGCAATGCTTCCTTCATATTAGCGAGGAGATTTCAGATATTACATCTGTAAGCAGAAAAAAAACCTACTTTTCAAGTTATTACAATGTGAGTAATTTAACTCATCATGACATTCTTCAAGCACAAATCGATAACAATTAAAGGAAATTTGAAAAGTCTTTCGGTAATATGACGGAGAAAAACAAAACGTAAAAAGTACTTGATGTACAGCGTTGGCTCCTCGGATGAGGTTACAAAGTGGACTCACCCTTGCTCGTAGTCATGTTTACATAACGCAATTTCACTACATGCCCGTCATGCAACTTGAGATTCTGACTGAGGAACTGATTATGAGCATGTGCATCACCGAAAGGCTTTCACTTTCCTCGACTAAACCATGAGATCGAACGTACACCATGAACATGTATGAGTTCGATGGCCAAGCGTTGTCACGGTCCCAATGATCGTGTAACCTCTCAGGACAATCAGAAAGCGGGGAGCGGGTTTTTTTCGTCAATATAACCAGATTTGTACAAAATTTCTCCGGGCCATGAACCATGAGCGGTGGAGGACACAAAGTCCCCGATAGTAATGACACTATCCTGGCGCCGTAGCTGCAGCTGAACTCTTGCAGCCCACATGTGTCGATCACGAACCCGATCCAAAAATCCTCTCACCTCCATGGCGTCGAACAAAGCGACCTCCAAGGGAAAAATTGCCCCCGAGGTTTGCAGCCAGTATGAGAATTTGTCCAAGTCCCCGAATGTACGCCCGTCGACTTCTACGTATATGGTATCGCTAGCTGTCCCGAAGATCGTCACCTCGATCTCCTCAGCTTGCTGGCTACGAATCCAGAGCGCCAAATGAGGCCCTTTTGTTATCGACTCATGGATAATTTGGAGCTTCGTGACTTGACACGACTCCAGAGCAGCAAAATACTCCCGGAACTCGAGATTCTCAATCCAATGGATCTTCGGCTCCGGGACGGCCACCACTTCCTCCCCGCACTTAATTGAAATATGTTCTTCGTCCTCGACCTCGTCGGCCACCACTTTCTCTCCGCACTTTATTGAAATATGTTCGTCGTCCTCGAACTCGGCCACCACTTCCTCCCCGCACTTAATTGAAATATGTTCCTCATCCTCGACCTCGGCCACCACTTCCTCCCCGCACTTAATTGAAATATGTTCCTCGTCCTCGACCTCGTCAGCCACCACTTCCTCCCCGCACTTGATTGAAATATGTTCCTCGTCCTCTACCTCTACCCAGGGCTGCTTCGACGGTGCACCCTCTTCGTCACACTTGATCTCTTGATCAGCTCCCTTCTCCAGAGCCTGCATGCCACCAGCTTCCGCCTCCACAGACCATGCATCGCAGTCCTCTTGGACGGACTGCATCGCATCGGTCTGCTCATGGGCAAACTGCATGGCCGCAGCAACCTCGTACACCTCCTGTTTCTCTTTGACAGACTGCATCGTATCAGCCCAAGCGTAAGAAGGATAATGCGTGCGATGCAAAAGCTCGGCGACGTCGATCTCCACCTCGAAATGAGCTACGAACGAAGAATAGAACGTGGGATTCGTTCTCGTCGAGCGCCGGAGTACCCGACAAGGCCCGACCTACCGCGTAAGTTCGCGACCTCATCCAGGTACACGTCGTCCACTCTGCGTACGCAGTTACTTCGTGTTACTACGTTCGGTTCGGTCGGAGTGGGCTCGAGCTATAATCCCCTTGCTCGCCTCCCACATTGTACAGGAAGTATGTTTTGAGTGACTTTGTAATTAATTTCGCAGCAGCCTGACGATCCCAAACGACTCGGACTGTAGCTCAAAATTCACAATTTTAGTACTCTTAACAATTCCCAAAAGAAGAAGAACATATTTACGGTTGTAACTATCACTTCAAATTGGGACCGTTTTCTTCAGGTTAGTCGGTTGCTGAATTTTGTTTCCGATCGGTTTTGTATGGAGGTGCAAATCAACTGCGCTGTTTGAACGGAAAAATTCTGGATTCAAATATCACAGTTCTATATCTGTATAATTAGAAATGACTACATTATGCTTTGATATAATATTAAGTCAGTCAGAATTTTGCTCGATAATAGAATTTATAGAAATTCTATCTAATTTTACGTTACATACTTTTAGCGGTATCGTAAAAGCAAGAGATTTGAGGTGGGAGCTTAGTATGGGCGAAGAGAGCCTTATATACATGGAACTATATATTATAAAAAGCAAGAGAATATGGTATGTGACCGTCCATTATCCAAATAACAGTAAATTGTTAAAAGTTGTTAAATTTAAGATATTGATGGAACCATTAGATAACACAAATAGATTACTGGAACCTATCACCTATCATTTTACCCTATGGTATGTCATCGACGTCACGATTCATCCATGTTTTAATATCGATCCACGGTGCAAGAGGAGAATCGAGCAAGAGCTGGACTGAGGGGAGGCTATTTATAATTGTAACATTTTTTGATGCAAAAAGATTTTGCAGGAGTTGCTGAATTCTAAGACCTTATGTGCACAGGTGAGTGTCACTGCATTGCTATTTAATGACATGCTTTCTTAGAAGCTTACTTCAAGTTTTAGAGACTTTGAAATCTCTTTGTTTTAAAGTTGTAGATGCTGAAAAAAGACTCCTTGGATCTTATCGAACATATTTTCCACATTCATATCTTATCATTTCAAAAGATAGAGAATGATATTCAATCATCGCATTGCCTTTGATCATTCCGTCGGTTGTACTCAGTCTCCGTTCCTATGAACATCTTTAATCTTCTCAAAAATATTGATCCATACAAGATACACATCCATTTTGTAGCAAATTTTCTAAAAAAAAGCTGCAATATATTTGTGTCCTACAATATTTTGAACACTGCTTATTGGTGAACATTTGCTGATTACCGTTTATGAAGAAAAGCCAACTCGAAGAGAATCTACTGAGACCAACATAGTGACCATTATCTTGTTGCAAATCTCGATTTGTTACAATGTGAGTCTGGAGATTGGTGACTCGAGATTTTCGGATTAAGATAAAAAGTAAAGACACATAGTGCGATTCTGATTGGTCTTGCCCAAGGTTAAGATATAAAAGATGATGCAAAGACTAGTGATCACACTCTTGATGGGCAGGCGTTAAGCTATCGCTAAGATGAATTTCCTGACTTCAACAACAGATCTCCATCTTCATGAGTTCTCAAATTTATGTCTACTTGGATAATAACTGAACAACCAAGAGCTTTATATTATGGTCGAGGTATTTGGACTTGTGAAAAACTTTTATAACGGTTATAGGTTCATGTGGTTTTCATAATAGAATGCGTCGGAACTTAATAATATTAGCGACATTTAGACTTAGAGCAGTGCTTCCTTTATATAGCGAGGAGATTTCAGGTATTACATCTGTTAGCAGAAATAAAAACCTACTTTTCAGGTTATTACTATGTGAGTAATTTAACACATCGTGACATTCCATCAGCACAAAGCGATAACAATTAAAGTAAAATTGGAAACTCGTCCGGTAATTTAACGGAGAAAACAAAACGTAAAAAGTACTCGATGTACAGCGTTGTCTTCTCGGATGAGGTTACAAAGTGGACTCACCCTTGCTCGTAGTCATGTGTACATAACGCAATTTCACTACATACTCGCCATGCAACTTGAGATTCTGAATAAGGAGCAAGATTATGAGCATGAGCATCACCGAAAGGCATTCACTTTCCTCGACTAAACCATGAGATCGAACGTACATCATGAACATGTATGAGTTCGATGGCCAAGCGTTATGACGGTCCCAATGATCATGTAACCTCTCAGGACAATCAGAAAGCGGGGAGCGGGTTTTTTTCGTCAATATAACCAGATTTGTACATGATTTCTCCAGGCCATAAACCATGAGCGGTGGAGGACACGAAGTCCCCGATAGTAATGACACTATCCTGGCGCCGTAGCTGCAGCTGAACTCTTGCAGCCCACATGTGTCGACCACGAACCCGATCCAAGAATCCTCTCACCTCCATGGCGTCGAACACAGCGACCTCCAAGGGAAACACTGCCCCCGAGCTTTGCAGCCAGTATGAGAGTTTGTACAAGTCCCCGAGGGTACGCCCGTCGACTGCTACGTATATTGAAAGGCTAGCTGTCGCGAAGATCGTCACCTCGATCTCCTCAGCTCGCTGGCTACGGATCCGGAGCACCAAATGAGGCCCTTTTGATATCGATTCATGGATAACTTGGAGCTTCGTGACTGGACACGACTCCAGAGCAGCAAAATACTCCCGGAACTCGAGATTCTCAATCCAATGGATCTTCGGCTCCGGGACGGCCACCACTTCCTCCCTACACTGCATTGAGCCATGTACCTCGTCCGCGACCTCATCCCCGTGCTGCTTCGACGGTGCACCCTCTTCGTCACACTTGATCTCTTGATCAGCTCCCTTCTCCAGAGCCTGCATGCTTCCAGCTTCCGCCTCCACAGACCATGCATCTCAGTCCTCTTGGACGGACTGCATCGCATCGGTCTCCTCATGGGCAAACTGCATGGCCGCAGTAGCCTCGTCCTCCTCCTCTTTGCCTTTGACAGACTGCATCGTATCAGCCCAAGCGTAACAAGAATTATGCGTGCGATGCACAAGCTCGGCGACGTCGATCTCCACCTCGAAATGAGGTGCGAACGAACGAAGAATAGAACGTGGGCTTCATTCTCGTCGAGCGCCGGAGTACCCGACAAGGCCCGACCTACCGCGTAAGTGCGCGACCTCATCCAGGTACCGTTGTGCACGCGCTGCGTACGCAGTTGCGTCGTGTTACTCGGTTCGGTTCGGTCGGAGTGGCCTCGATCTATAATCCCTTGCTCGCCTCAATTCCTGTACAGGAAGTATGTTTAATGAGTTTGTAATTAATTCCGCAGCAGCCTGACGATCCCAAACGACTCGGACTGTAACCCAAAATTCACAATTTTAGTACTCTTAACAATCATTCCCAAAAGAAGGAGAACATAATTACGGTTGTAACTATCACTTCCAATTGGGACCGTTTTCTTAACGTTAGTCGGCTGCTGATTTTTCTTTCCGATCGGTTTTGTACGGAGGTGCACTTCAAGTGCGTTGTTTGAATGGTAAAATTTTCGATTCAAATACTACAGTTCTATATCTGTATAATTCGAAATGACTACATTATGCGTTGATATAATGTTAAGTCAGTCGGAATTTTGCTCGAGTTTTCTATCGAGTTTCACGTTGGATAGTTTTATTGTATCGTGAAAAAACAAGATACTTGAGGTGGGAGCTGAGTATGGGCAAAGAGGGCCTTATATATATATGGAACCATATCTTATATAAGCCAAGAGAATATGGTATTAGACCGTTGTGTTCGGGAAATATATTCAGTGGAATTTCTTGGAAAAAGCACAAAGTTTCATTCTTTGTTTCCGTATCCAAGTTATTGGCATTTGAATATAAAAAGTAATGTGGTAATACACTTTTTGTTTTTTTTGCAGAATTTAAACAATTTTAGAAAACTAGTACCGAAGCAGTGTTTGTAGTTAGAAAAGGGTACGTTAAATAGAGTGGATTAATGAGATCGTCACGAGGTCACGAAGAATCGCGTAGTCGGATGTACCAACGCCAATGTCTTCGGCGCCTTCGGCAAAAGCACCTTTTCTGAGGTGTCTCTACTCACGCGCTTCCAGCGTATAAGGAAGCTACGCTTCCGGCGCAGACACCTCAGGAGGAGGTTTTGCTAAAAACGTCAGAAGAAGGGCCCGGACCTCTGAAGTCGTCCGACCATGAGTGCGCCTTCGGCGATGCGCCGCTAGCGCGGAAAGGGAAAACCTTCATAACGATCGGAATACACGGTAGATCCAGTTGGTTGAAGTTGCATTAGAAAGAGCTCGGGACGCTCGTTCTAACGAGCCCAAGAGCGTCGGAGATGGATCAGGGACGGAGAAGTTATGAGCGTCGGAAAACTCGTAGCCGGACATGCGCCGTTCGCGCTAGGGTTCACAGCCGGAAAGGACTCCCGTACGCCCTCGGCGATGCGCCTTCGGCGGAATCGCGCGCTCATGGGAGGAAACCAACTCAGAGTCGGAAGCGCCTTTGGCGGCTGCTCATGGAAGGAAAGCGCCGGTCAGATGTACGCCTCCGACGTGGCGCTGATGGCCGGATGCGCTGGCATGATTTGCGCTGGCGGATATGCGCCGTCAGCAATGGACGAGGCATAAAGGACAAAATAAGCGGTACGAATACGCGCCGGCGTAATTCGCGCCGACTGGATGTGCGCCTCCAGCAAGGCGCCGATGGATAAGGAACACGCCAGCGGCGACACGCCTCCGGTGATGGACGGGTTAGGGAAAGACAACATAGCCGACGTATACCCTGTGGCGGACTCGAGTCCGGAAGGCGGCGGCGGGAGAATTCAACATTCACGCATGCGAATGCGCGCAGTGCGGAGACGTGAGTTCGCGCATGCAAAGGGCGAACCGTTAGGCCGTATAGCCGGTTGCGTACGTTGTAACCAGTAAGAACGTTGGACGTTCTTGAATTCGGAGAAGAAAAGACTGCGCTCCAGTCTCATTCTCTCATTCTTGATTCTGCGATTTCAAGCTTCCAAGATTACGCGCAAGGGCGGAGAGACCTGCAGTGAGAGGAGAGAGTGCGGAGACGAGTTGCGCAAGGATCTTGACAGACCTTGGAGAGAATTGCGAGTAGCGAACTTGAGCGTGAGCGAAGAGAGAGTGAGCAGTCAGTGCTTGAGCGGCCGACGCGCAGTGGCGATTGTGAGAGAGCGAGCGAAAGGGAGAACGTTTGTGTGTGCAGGAAACGCAATGTCAAAGGTTCCCCAGCTGCGAGTGTCTCCCCTCAGGGTGCCGCAGATCGGTCTACGCGCATTTCAAGATGTGATGCTGGGGCTGAAGCTCGATTTCCTCCTGTGGGGGTGGAACTGGACATGTCCGGAGATGGTGCGCGAGTATCTGCAGGAGAGACACAAGCCCTCACGCGGATTCCGTCCACATCCAGAAAGATGGGACATTTGTAACTGGGCGCAGGTGTTGGGCAGGTGTGCCGGCGAGGAAGGGGATCTCCTCTTCGAGGCCGATAGCGTGAAGGTGTCCCAGGAGGAAGAAATCTCCTACAATGAGCTCTTCAAAGTTGCCAGGCATCCCAAGAACGGTTTCCGGACACAGGATTACAAAGATCGATTGCGGAGAAATGTCGCGACTGCATTGCTGCAGATATTGCAGCCGACCAAGACCGCTTACATGCATGGTTGGCAGGTAGAATTTGTGGAGCTAGTGTTGTCAGGAGCTCCAGTGCATTGGGCACGGCTCCTGTGGAAGGTGACGCGCCAACATGCGCAAGAAGAGAGAGGAGGAACCCTCAATCATCTTTCGCCTTACCTGATTGTGTTTTATCGGGCGATGGGATGTTTGACAAATTCAGAGCGGACACGGTTTCCGCTGCTGACACAGAGCTATCCAGGTAGATACTCACGGGAGGCCGAAGTAGACACGGATCCGGACGAGGAACCTGCCAGTCCGCCTCCGGCTCCGGCCCCAGCAAGAGCAGCAGAAGAACGTCGAAGTGAGCGCATTCCGCGAAAGCGGAAGTGGGATGAGAGACCTGAGGACAGGCAGCCGGAAGTGCCAGCTGCGCCGACTCGTGGTCGGCCCACCCACGAGCATCACAGTCGACCAAAACAGAGGGCACGCAAAATGCCAACTAGTACTGAGGAGACCGGGCGTACTCCGCTCCGGCGGAATCCCACGCAGGAGGAGATAATCGCGCAGATTCTAGGGAAGTCGACAAATACCTCTGCGCAGAAGGCACCAATGCCTTCGGAAGGAGATGGACAGACTGACAGTCAGCCGACTACGAGTCGGGCGACTGAAGGTCGACAAGCGGAAGGAAGGCCAACTGAACGGCGCGTTGAACCGGACAGCAGGCCGGAAGCAGAAGAGAGTTTGGCTGACGAGCCAACAACCCTTAGAAGGTCGTCTTCGGCGGAAGGCACTTCTGGGAAAACGCCACCAGCAAGCAGGCCAAGTGGAGTGAAGACGCGCAGGGTGTATCCGACTCCCAGTCGGACAACTGCTGGTCGGCCGACTGCGAGTCGGTCAACAAAGAGTCGGCCGGATTCGCCGACTGCGAGACGGACAGGGCCGGCGACCAGTGTGCGGACGCCTTCGGCGGACGCACCTTCAGCGAAGACACCTTCCGCGCAGATTGCGCCGGAAGGGCAGGCAGCAGAAGCGGGCGGTGCAAAGGTGACAAGAGTCACTGCGGCATCGACTCCTTCGGAGACCGAAGATCGAGCCGGAACAGGGGCTCAAGCAGTGGGATCCCCCACTGCCCAAGATATTTTAGCAGGCAGTGGAGCAGCAGTCGCAGCGGAAGCTGCTGCGCGCCACAGTTCCATGGAGTCGCCAAGGGATTCAGTGGCGACTGAAATCCTCGAGACTGAGGATGAGACGAGCTCGGAAGAGCAGGAAGCGGATTCTGTGCAGAAAACGCCAACAGGGGTGTTGTGCGAGCAGATAGTCCCACTCCTGCGATATCTGGATCGCAAGACATCCAAGTACTCGGGTATTGGAAAACCGCAGTCTTATGTGGAGACTGTCAAGCGCAGGACGAGGAGCAAGGTGGCCACTTGGGCCTCTAGGTGCCACGTATATCAGGAGAGGAACACCGCCCTCCGACAACACCTGGCGGTCACACAGAAGCTATACCAAGCCTTGCAGCAGCAGAGGGAGGATGCGGCGACGAAAAGCCAGGCGGATGCCGAGCTAATGCGGGCAAAGATCGAGTCGGAATTGCAGGAAGAGCGGAGACAAAACCGCATCCTAGCAGCCGAGCTTGCGCGCCAGACGCGCGCCTTAGAAGAAAGTCAAAGAGGCCGCAAGGAGGATGAGGAGTTGTTGCGCAACTTGCAATCCGAGTGCTCGGATTTGAGGGCGCAGCGTGCGGAAGCAGAAATGCAGCTGGCAGAGGTGGAAGGCAGCTGCCGGGCGCGAGAAGAGTTGGCGACGCGGGTGACTCACTGTCTAAAAGGATACGCCCATTGGGAGGTGGCAGCTCAAGAGAGGATCACACTCAGGGAGTTCGAGCTTCGGGCGGCGGCATTGACGGAGGGTGACAGTCGGAGTCGGCGGCGAGTAGCGAGGAAATTAGAAACCTTCTTGTCGGGTGCGCGCGACACTATGGCGCACTTAGAGTTGAAAGTCACTGCAGCCCTCCGACGCCTGGGGTTGCGCAGCCGGTCGGAAGACTGGCAAGGTAGAGACAGCGAGCGGAGCAGTCCGGCGCGCAGGAGGCGCAGCACCGGATCCGCCGAGTGCAGTAGTATAGTTTAGTTTCGCGCAGATGTTGCGAGTAGTAGATAGGATAGCGTAGTGCTAGTTAGGACCTTTGAGGGTATAAAGTAGATCAAGGCGTTTTGCCTTGGGACTCTTCCAGTTTCGGAAGTACAGATCAGGAACTCACTTTCTTGGCGTGTTTGTGCATTTTGGTCCTGGCACCACGTAGAGAAGCTGCAGCATAGCGAAGTTACCGTATGTTGTAGTTGAAGGCCTTCGGCTGAATGTTCAGAGCTAGCACCCGGTTAGAGACTTGAGTAGTGCGGATCTGCACCTGCGGGTGATTTCTGATGCTCAGAGCCGGCTGCGAGTTAGAGACTTGAACAGTTCCCCCTTACTCCTTC